TTTCATCAAATTGACATTTAATTTCATTAATTTAATTATTAATTTCATCACACTAACACTAACTTCATCACCTTTACACTAAATTAATATTTAATTTCATCAAATTTCGTCAAATTAAAGTCATGATGAAAATAGACTGACTACTTGAGATATTAGTGTTATTTCATCTACAATAGTTTGTACATGAATGTGTGAGTTATGCCGAGTACTCAGTAAATTATAGATCACTTCAAATCTTCATTTTCGAAAGGGATGATCAATTCCGCAAATATCAATCGAAACTTGAAACCTTATATAAGTCAAAAAGCACAACAATTGAAATGGGTAGTACGTATTGGTACGAGATATATTCTCGTGTTTCGATCTTTCCATTTTTTTGGACTCATTTCTTGGGTAAAGTCTCCCAACTATATTTGGAAAGAAATTGGTAACATTCAATTTATTTAACTTAGAATTTAGTTTCATCAAATTGAACTTTCATCAATCAATATTTTAAAATTTAATTTTGTCAAATTAACATTTAATTCATTTAATTTAGAATTTAGTTTCATCAAATTGAACTTCAATTCCATCAAATTAATATTTAATTTTATTAATTCAAATATTAATTTCATCACAATAACACTAATTTCATCAATTTAATTTTTTGTTGATGAAACTAAATTTTAAATTAAATAGATTGAATGTTAATTTGGCAAATCCCAAGTACATAGTAAGAACATAAAACTTAAGAACTATATTAGAACACTAATGCTATTGGGACATAATTGAAGGACATAATTTAGGGATATAATGAGTTGTCACTAATGAAATGATAGTGAAATGTATTTAATGATGGGTCTCATTGTAGCATTAATGAATTTATCATCATATCATTGGTGACAACTCATTATGTTCTCAAATTATGTCTATAATCATGGTTTTGAAATCCAATATAGCCTCTCAATCCATCAATTTGGGCAGAAATTAGGGTTAGGGTTTAGTATCAGATAAACAAACCATAGGAAACCTTCATCCCATTAGAGTTTCTGGGAGAACCAAGTTACCAACTTGGAACATCGTCGGATTTCAAAGATCTAGCCAACAAACAAAGCCGCTTCGGGTGTAATCTCCGATCACTTCCATTTCCTTCTCGGTCATAGACACATAAAGATCCCATCATTGACTGGCACTGTTGTCATGCTACCAAAGGAGAATTACAACCCTGACAAATTTGATCTTTTAAGTCTTCTCTCTCCTTCAAAATTTGGGGTAAAGACATAGAAAATGAGTGTTTGTGTGGTCATTTTCTCCATTTATGTGTATATGTTTTTTTTTATACAAAATGATATTTTATTCCCATTCAAACTGGATCTTGTACATCATATTGGTGAGAAGATAACAAAAACATAGGACACTCATCTCTCCATAACATAAATTCTGGGACCGTTGCTACATATTTTGCAAGACAATGGGTAGCACTATTCTCAGCACTACCCATGATGTTGAAAACATACAGTTTCTTAGCACGCAGTAGAATCTCATCAACAAAATTACCAATATCAGATAAATTCCTATGGCTTGAGTTCACAGCATCTATCACCCCTCTTGAATCACCCTCCAATATCACATTGTCGTGGTTCATCACCACCACGGTTGTCATAGTTATCGATGCCGCCATGGCCTCTATATGCTCATCTTTTAAAACTCCCGGGATTTTTTTACTCACAAATCCACCAACAGAGTCTCTGAAAATTGCCCCAATCCCTCGGCATCCAGATTGCGCGAAGACAGCTCCATCAAAGTTGATTTTAACGACACCAGCTGGAGGCGCTGACCACCTCCTAGAATCCCTTCTAGCAAAAAGAGTATGGATCATAAGATCGAGGATTCTGCTTGCTCTGAATTGGTACGAGTAATTGGTGGAAAAGTTCACAATTTGGACAGGAGTTTGGGTTTCCTCCTCCAATCGAGCTCTATTCCTGTTGCACCACATTGCCCAAACCAGCGTCAGTCTTAAACACAATACATTCGGCTCCAATAGATCAATTAAGGTAAGGAACCAAGCATTGAAGGATAAATTTCCAGTTGGGAGGTAGTTCGATTCCAGAGATGTTCCAGACTTCTAATTCAAAATGGCACTTCATAAATAGGTGAGTAGGGGTCTTCAAATTTCTGATTACGCAGAAATATCTATCCTATTCTACTCTATTCGACCTTATTGATCCGATATCCAAAGAATTGGGTAGACTAACGGAAGATCTTTTGATATTCCGCAAAAAATCAGGTAAGAACGTAGATTATATATATATCATCAAATTTGATATGTATATTAATCCCTACAAATTAAAATCCAAAAATCTAGAAATTTTAATGTTTTATAGATGTTTATGACTTTCTTATATATATGATGTATAGATATTTATGACTTTCTTGTTGTGTTTTTATTGTAATTGTTTATGTATTATCAAATTTATTATATTTTCTTTTGTGTTATTGGTTTATTGTTTTAGTTAATTGATACAGATTACAAAATTAAATTGTTAAAATATCCAAAAAAATTAATAATCAAAAAATATGCATTTATCTGATTTTCTACCCGATAGTTTGGACAGAATTTGAGTATGAACAGTACATTTAATCGAAAAGGATAGACTAAAAGTAAAAAAATGAAATATCATAATTTTTTTCCCATAAGATCGGATAAAGACCCCCTACTGGTGATTAGATATCTTTTTCCGTTGGAAGTTGCATAGAGTGGAGAGAACATCTTGGGCAGCATTCCAAATAAAATGCATAATTTTCTGTGTGTGTACCGAAAAAGTGTACGCGTTTTGATACCAACATAACCGATCAAAAGAAGTTATTTTGAGGACATAGAGGAGATGACGAATTGGTTAGAATTGTAATTTTTTTTTCGATAAAACATAAAAATAATATCAATCAATAAACGCAAATCTATTAGTATCTCCGCATAAGAAGAGAACAAAAAAAATCACTTCAAAAAGATTTCAAAAATGGATATGCAATCGCATAGTGAGCATAGAAAACTATTTTTTTTTCACTTTTAAGAACATAAAAAAAAATATTTATGTATATATATAAAACAATCAAATTAGGAAGGAGACATGACTCTCTCCTTAAATATTTAATTACTAGAGTTTTAAAATGTTTTATTGCTTCACTTCAACCAAATTATTCCATGTGTCTTTTCTAACTATTCCATGTGTCTTTTCTTAAATTACTTTAAATTTGAATTTTAAACTATCTTTCATAACTATTTAAAATTTAAATTAACATCATTTTAACACATTAATAAGAATTGTCTAGTAATATTATGATTAGGGAGGATTTAGTGATAGGGGTGATGGTAGGAAGGTATAACAAATTCTGTACAGGTTGTCTGTTAGTTTTTTAATATTCTAACATTAAATCACCATTCGGGCCGGTTAGGTTAGAAAGATAAGAATAATCAAAAATAAAAGTAATAGAAAGTGATGTGAAAGAAAAAAAATATATTTTCATGCATGTATTTAGTTAATATGAAAAACTTGCAGACAAGTTTAAAAAAAAATCATTCTATTGTTTGAAATAAAGAAAGTCATAATATAATTTTTTTTTAATTGTCTAAATTATCCTAAATTATATTAAATCAGTTTAAAGAAAAAAAAATATATATATATATATATATATATATATATTATAATTAAAAGGTAAATTTTTTTTAAAAAGTGACTAAAAACCTAATTCTGGGACAAGAATCGTCCCAAACCCAAATGACATAAATTGTATATATATATTTTTATGTATGAGCTATGCTACTTAGATCTAAAAATATGACTTAATTAAGTGCAACCAATCCAAATGTCATAGTAAATTAGGTTAGTAAATTAAATTTCAATAGCATTGCTCATTTATGTATGTGACGAAATTAAGTGATTACTTAACAAATTTAAGTTAAAAGTTAGTTGTAATTTGAAAAAAAAAAATCAGTTTAATTAAGTCACACAGGCCACATCACATATTTGGATGCTCTCTAGTGGACTCTCCATGTTTAAATTTAAAGAATTTAGATGTAGTAATTAAATTACCCCTTTGGATGTTGTAATTAAACGTTACACCCTAGGACTTTATTCCTGTTAAACTAAATGCCCATGTGTTTAATTTGTGACACTAAACTGCCCAGTTTTATTTGTTTGATATCTAGATTCCCCCCCGGGGGCGCAAGTGGAGCCGCTGCTTAACTTTTGGTCCCACCATAAACGAAATTTGAAAAAAAAAATTAAAAAAAAAAAACAAAATCAAACTTATTGTCACAATGAATTTCATTAATTTTAGTCGTCAGAAGATTCTTTTTTAAAAAAATAAAAAATAGGCTACTGGATACCAATGTATTAGTATTTCGGGCTTTTCATAGTTTGAACCTGAAAGATATCTCGATTTGCATTTTCCACCCTGAAATATTATTTTTTATACATTACACCCTAAATATTATAAATTAGTTCAAATGTCACCCTCAAACTAACATCTGTTTCAAATTATGTTAAAAATTGATACATATGCTCATAACGCATAATTAGTTCAAGGGTTTCTATGAAAATATAAATTCATAATTCATATCATTGAATGACATATACATTACTTTTTAACAGAATCTAAAATAGATAGTAGTCCGAGAACCACACTAGAACTAATTTATGACATTTAGGGTACAATGTAATAACAAACCATTGATTTATTTTTTTTCCCAGTTATCTGTACATCAATCAATAGCCAAAGAAACTCTATCCATGGAAAATGTAAGCAGTCAAGCCTGCAGTTCCAAGCTTCCGAAGAAATATGAAATACTAACCAAGAAAAAGGAAAAGGAAAAACGTCATCAGTGAATTATAATCTCATTGGATATCACACAACATTATATATTTTGACTAGTGATACATGTTGGGTCCAAGCCCAGAACTAAATGTCTCCGAGTGGGGATAAGGTTTTCTCTCACTTAAATTCGCTCCTTCTGCTCCTCCTCAAGAGCAATGTGGCGAAACAGCTCCAGTTTCTTTTACATTGACATGGCTGCAGCTGCACATAGCTTTGGCTGCTCCACTTGCTTCTCTCACTATATTGATATCCTGCAACAAAATCCCTTCAGAAGGAAATCTCTCCGTGCAATCAAATTTAATGGCCACATCAGAAACACTTGTTCCGTTGATCTGGTAGACCAACATAAACAAGTTGAATTTTGGTTGTTTGTTAGATTGAAATTCCAGAAGTTGATAAAGAAAATTTTGATATAACACGAAGATGATATCCTGTACTGCATTCTGGGTGTCGTTTTCCAGTCAAATATATGGGTATCGTAAACAACATAGTTGCAATGGATCTAAAACCAACCTCTCTCTCTCTCTCTCTCATTTCATTTCTTTACCAACCCCATGAATACTTTTTTGGCAATGTATTTAACTTCCTCTGTTTAAAAACCCAATCTCTCCGATTCTTCTTCTTTTTCTTTTCTCTTTTTTATGCCCCATATTTTGCATTTTCATATTTGCTTCTTCATCAGCTATTAGAGTAAAAACTATTAGTCTCAGCTTTCCAGGTTCTTGACCATATTTCGCCTCTCTCTCCCCCCTCCCCCCCCCCTTTTCCTCTTTCTCTCCCGGATTCTGGCATGGATGCATACAAACACAAAGGTCTGGTAGTAACGCAACCCACAATTAATGACGTTACTACACCACTGATTGAGTTGATGTTTCTTAGATGGAGCGTTCACTTTGAGATAAGACAGGTTTTGAAATGTCCATAAGAACAGAATCTACAACAAGACCAATCCTCAAAAGGGTAAAGCAAACAGAAACTGCATTGTTTCATGAGAGAAATAATTACTCTTAAGCACGACAGAAACTCATGTTAACAAAATGGACAACTATGGCCAGAATGAAGCGCAAAATTCAGTAGAATAACATTTTTTAAAAACCAAACTCCTGGCCGGTGAATTGTTTGTGTCCAAATGTCAGAACAGAAAGAACCTTCTGTTTGGTGTACGAAGGCAAAATTCACAAAAAAAATCAAGATATGAAACTATGAGCTCGACTAAGAGCATTCATAAAATTTCAGTTATAGATAAATTGTCATAGTCCATATTTAAGTTTCCTTTAGAGAAGAAGTAAAAATAAATTTAGGATATTTTGCCTGACTGGAGAAAATCAAAAAAACAAACATTGCTAAGATTAATCACCATTCCCCTGTGAACATAAAAACCCCATGGCATCAATTACCAAAAATTTAACAAAGAAACATGTAAATTAGGGAAGCGTAGCTAATTTAACATAAAAGCATCACTTAGCAGCTTCAAGAACCAAATTAAACTAACATCAGGTTACATATAGGATCAAAATAAAACCCCAAATGCATAATTAGAACAGACAATATTAGAACCATATACGAAACTAGGGTTAGGGTTGGAAAAATCGAATAGAGCCTCTCAATCCATCAATTGGGCAGAATCATAGGGTTTCTAAGAGAACCTACCAACTCAATGCATTGCTAGAGTCTGACCATCTAGCACACGAAGAGAGCCGTTTCCGATGGAATTGCCGATCACTTCCTGTTTCCTTCTCGGACATAGACACATGGGGATCCGATCATCGGCTGTTACTATTTCCATGCTTCCAAACGAGAATCACAACCCTGACAAATTTGACCCTTAAGCCTTCTCTCTCCTTCAATCCCAGGTGTGAAAGCATAGAAAATCTGAAAATGGGTGTCTGTGTGTTCATTTGCCTGATTGTGTCTTTTTGTGTTCTAAGAGAACCACCCAAACAACAGTTAGTCTGAACACACGGCGGACGAATTTGTTAGAATTGTAATTCTCCTCAGATAAAACATGAAAACAGTATCAATCGATAAACACAGAGCGACCATAATATCTATGCAAAAGAAGAAAACGAAAGAGATCGCATCACAATTATTTTGCCTTTTTACGGGGAGGAGAAGATATAAATAGACTATATAAACCGTGTCTGAAAATATAGTACAATGTAGATGATTTTGAGATGAATGTTGGTGTTTGTTGGATAAGTCTATTTGAGACTGTTGAATAGAATTATTGAAACCTAGCTATTTTATATTATAAATACCCAATTGTATAATGAGCGTAGAATAAACCAAATAATTGTATAAGATTAATCACCATTCCTCCGCAAACATAAACAACCCATGGCAGCCATTACCAGAAATTTAACAAAGAAACATGTAAATTAGGGAAGCTCAGCGAATTTAACATAAAAGCATCACTTAGCAGCTTCAAGAACCAAATTAAACTAACATCAGGTTACGTATAGGATCAAAATAAAACCCCAAATGCATAATTAGAACAATTAGAGAAAATATAATTCAAAGATGAATAACGAGAACAAACAATATTAGAACCATATACGAAACTAGGGTTAGGGTTGGGGAAATCGAATAGTGCCTCTCAATTCATCAATTTGGGCAGAATCATATAAACAAAAGGTAAGAACCCATGATCAGATTGGGGTTTCTAAGAGAACCTACCAACTCAGTGCGTTGCTAGAGTCTGACCATCTAGCACACGAAGAGAGCCGTGTCCCACGGAATTTCCGATCACTTCCCGTTTCCTTCTCGGACATAGACACATGGGGATCCGATCATCGGCTGTTACTATTTCCATGCTTCCAAAGGAGAATCACAACCCTGACAAATTTGACCCTTAACCCATCTCTCTCCTTCAATCTCAGGTGTGAAAGCATAGAAAATGAGTGTCTGTGTGTTCATTTGCGTGATTGTGTCTTTTTGTGTTCTAAGACAACCAGCCAAACAGAAGTTAGTCTGAACACATAAACTGCAGACGGACGAATTTGTCGGAATTGTAATTCTCCTCCGACGAAACATGAAAACAGTATCAGTCGACAAACACAGACCGATCATAATATCTATGCAAAAGAAGAGAACGAAAGAGATCGCTTCAAAATTGTTTTGCCTTTTCACATGGAGATAATATAAATAAATTAGGTAATTTGTAATTAAAAATACAGTGTAATATGAATAATTTTAATATAAATATTAATGGACATCGGATGACATTACTTAAAATTTTTAGATAGATGTTTTGAAACTTAAGTGTTTTATATTATAAATATCCAATTGTATAGTGAGTGTAGAATAAACTATTCTTTCGTTATTAAAAAATATGTTGGTTTAAAATTTGAATATCTTTTAATATGTTTTCTATATTTTAATACCATTATTTATCATATAATAATAATAATAATAACATATATATATATATATATATATATATATATATATATCAAAGTTTTTATCATTACCACAAATCAAAACAAAACCCTTCTTATCAAAGCTATATATATGTATATTCCCTTGTTATAAAAGTTATTTGAAAGGATATAGGATAAGTTTTAAAAAGAACATTAATTTTTTGTCTCGATTAAGTTTTTCACATCTTCTTGACGAATATTTAGTATTTTATAGATTAACTATTCATTATCCATGCTTGAAGGTACTATACAATAAACAAAAATCTTAAACAATTGTTAAATTCAAAAGGAATCGTCTAAAAATATTCATATCAATTCTTTTTTTAAAATGACTCAAAATATATCGTCGACCATATCTTCCATATTAGCAAAATTGTCATAAAAATATATAAAAACTTCCCAAAGCAACACCATATATACAAAATGTCTCTGCAAAAAAAAAAAACAAATATACTATTATAATCCATTGAAATTTATAATTTTTAAACAATAAATAAAATATTGTTCATTTATAAGACTCACGAATTTATCACCTCTACTACCACTCAATTCAATAACATAACATAATTATAAACTCAATCATCATATTTTCAATCCACCATATTCCTATGTAATAAATACCTCAAGTAAAAAAAATATTAACATAATACAATTAAATTCACAATTTTTGACCGATAAATAAAATTAATCAAATCTTGCACATTTATAAAATTCATGAATTTATGACCACTATCACCATTCATCCTCAAATGACACAATATAATTATAAATTTAATCACTAAATGTCCAGTCTTCTACATGTAAATGTACATAGAAACACACCCACACACATTTTTTTTTTAGTTACCAACAAACCCTCCTAATCAATAATTATTTTTATTAGAAATACAATAATTCAAGTTTTTAAGATAAAATAATAATAAAATAATGTTTAATTATAAAGGTAAAAGTTACAGACATCCACTTATTTTTGACAACATTACACGGACACCTTCTGATATTTTATAAATAACACGGAGACCCCTTGATGTTTGAAATTTATTGCACAAAGATTCCCACTATCTCCTTTTGGTTAATGTTACTAATGAAAATTGATAATTTCATTCTAAATATTTTTATTATTTTTACAATTATCGTTCTCTAAATTTAGTACCAAAAACTATTAAAAATTTAATAAAATCAAAAAAAAATTGATTTAGTACCCAAAAAATTGATATAGTTTAGTTCTCCAAAAAAATGTTTAAATAAATTTTAATATTAATTTAATAACAATAAAAATTAATTAGATATTAATTTGACATAGTTGAATACAAATTGGACAAACTTAATTTTATTTTTTAATCAAATAATATATTAATTTACAATCTAAGGTTCATTTCATTTTGAATATTATTTGGTGTTTATAGTCAATATGCTATTTTTTTTATTTACATTAAGTGTGTACTCCAAAATATTGATTAAATAAATTTCAATATTAATTTAATAACAGTAAAAATTAATTTCATATTAATCGTCAAAGTTGAATATAAATTAGATGTTAATTTTTGATGAAAATTATATATTAATTTACAATTTAAGATTCATTTCGTGTTGAATATTATTTGGATTTTATAGTCAATATGCTATTTTTTATTTACATTAAGTGTTATTTATAAATTAAGAAGCAAATGGCAAAATACATTCTGTTAGATATATAAAAATTTTGAATTAGTTTCATGAAATAAAAAATTGCATAATATGTAGTTTCATCTATTTTATAGAGTAAATAATAACAAAAACAATACAGGGGAAACAAAAAAATGATAATAGTAAATGATTATGCACAAAAGTGGATTTATACACAATCAACAATCGAGTGTATAATGCAGAGTAATCAATAAAACAATTAATGAATGAGACAAAGATTGGGGTCAACACGAGCAACACACAGATGTATAGTGGTTCAGTCAAGATGACCTACTCCACTTTTGAAAGCGACAACGATAGCCAGATAACTTTATTAATAAAGTAGATGGTGTGAGAGATGAGGTTGGATAGCTATAACATAGCTGGTCGTGTAAAAGGTGTGTAGAGAGATGTCTCTCTCAATGAAGAGAACTTACAATTTATAAGCACAGAGTCTTTGTTGAGACGGTTGAGTGACGTGATAGGTGACTAATCATTTGGAGAGGATTGCTATAGGTAAGAATAGGTACAATTATCTTTGGTCCAATGATACTCCTTATCTTGTAAAAGTTTTGTCTTCTTAAGGTTAAGGGTTCAAGTCACCATCTCCCTTCCCCTTCTCCTTTCCCTTCCCCTTACCAAAAGAAAAAAAGAATAGGCACAATTCAAGATAGTACTAATCTCTGAGAGTGACTATCTCAGTGATTACTCCCCACGTGTGTTAATCCTTCTAGACTCCTTGAATCTTAGACTGGGCCAAACCCATAAACTAGGTTGGACCTGCTTTGTAACTAATTTGGGTTTATCTCATTAATTGGGCCTAACCCAGTTAAATTCGGGCTCATTAGTATGAGAGAGAGTTATATAAGATATGAGACCCTTAGAGTTGTAAAAAAAATAAAAATTCAATTAGGATCAACGGATCAAAACGATCTGAGCCGTGAAAAGTTTAAAACAAATAATTTAACTACTTTGTTATATAAATATATTATAAGAAAATGTGTCATAATTTCAAGGATAATAAAATGTTAGTCCAAATGAGAGGTTTAAACTCTTATTGGGTTTTAGCTACTGCATATGCATAAATAAACAATTTAGTTCGAATTTCTTTAATTTCTATTTAGAAATGAACAAACAAAAGGGAAAGAATGTCAATATAATATCATTAGCCACTAAATACGTCAATAAATGAGATTATAATTCGGATTCGATTAGTCAGACACAAACTACTATTTTTTATTGATAATTTAAATCTAAATTCAGAACCATTCTATCATAGTTTACAAATTTAGATTCAAATACACTAATATTCATCTAATTATAACCCAATGAAGTTTGAGTGAGGAGATTCAATTATAATTTCTTAAAAATCAGCTTAAAAAGTTATTCAAATTATATCACATTTTTAAATCGATATTTCAATTATTAACGAGTACAAATATAAAGAACACAAATAAAATAAAATTGGGATTAAAATTCTTACTTCTAATCTGGCAATCATGATGACAACACAGACAATTGGCCATTATAAAGCTTCAATCCACCTTAAGAGGTCGAGAATGTCTCTCGAATAGGCTTCATTCACTTCTTGGATGCTTTTAGGGTGTGTTTGGCAATTAATAGATGGATTGGACTGGATTGGATTTAATCCTAAACCAGTCCAGTGAAATCCCAATAGGCCGGATATATAGGGGGATAAAAGGAAATTTTATTATCCAATCCCTGCTTTGAATATTACATTATGAAGGGGATGAGATATGGACAAACTACAATTTTTTATTGAACATGTAATACCTTTGACATTGATTGACCATTTTACCCTCGAATCCTATCCAATCCTATCTCATTTTTTGCTAGACAATTGTTGGTTACCACTTTTTAAATAATTTTTTTTTACTTTTTGATCATTGTTGGTTACCAATTTAATAATGTATTCACCAAATACATGTTATTACACGTTGATTTTATAATTCAAGTTTATAAGTCGCTCACAAATTTATGAAATTAGCCAAAGATTTTAAAAATTTTAGGACAGAAAATGCCTGAATATACGAAAAACTACGGCACAACCCAAATTCACATAAATCATAGTAATAATTAACTGGTATTTATTTTTAAAAATTAAAAGACGATAAAATTAATTCCAATCACCAGGAAAAATACAAGAAGCCATTATGGGAACAACTATATACAAACCTCATTCAAAACATGTAAAAAAGAACAAAACATGTGTTAATGAGAAAAAATGTATTCAACATACCCATACAGTCAACTAGTGTGATCCTTTATCATAAAAAATTGAGCACTTTTTTTAGTCTACCAAGTGGCAGAATTATTCGGTCATTCAGTAGCATAAAATTTACCATGTTCGGCAACAAATTAAAACAAGAAAAATATGAAATCAACTGATCATTCACCACCGTGTTAGCCAAAGCATCAGCAACCACATTCAGTACTCTGTACACATGAAATAATTGTAAATCTATTTTCAACAACAGATCATTAATCTTTACCACAAAACCTAACACAAACCATTGACATGCCAAACCATTCTGTACAATGTTCACATGCACCATGGAATCCGACTCAATCACAAATTTACAATCAAGGTTTCCCATATTGTTCAATTGCGCACATACCATTAAGATAAGGCCCTAAAATTAGCCTCCACATCCAACATATACCATAGTAAAAAGAGTCATCAAAATAACCATTGCCTTAAACCAAAACATTACACATATTTAAGACATCGCAGTTTATATTTCGGACAG